CCTTTGCACCAGATATTTCATTTGTGGAATGAACGTGTTGTTGCATTCATGATTCAATCCGGAATTCGTCCGTGGGGAGAGGTGGCACTGCAACAACAGTGGAAGTTTGCAATGTACATTGCGAATTTGCCGGGCAACAGCTGGGCAAAGCGCATTTTGAATTGGAACCCTCCAAGGAAAGGAACTGTTGGCAGACCACGTTTTACCTGGTACTCGAAACTTGAAGATTTCTGCCGATGCAAACAACTTGATCCTTGCACATTGCTCGCAGCAGACTGACAACAGTGTGCACAATTGCGCAATGCATTTGCAAATTTTGTCCTGCGCCGCTACTGAAATGTAAATAGTTAGTCTTCGATTAATTTCAGTTCACCCGCCTGTGCCTTGAAGGGGCCCGCCGGGAAATGAAATGAAGTGGACCCCAGATGAATTTCAGTTTGCCACGCATGCACGCTTCGGCTGACTGCAACTAATTTTTCCGAGTTGTTTGCGATCCCAGTTCACGGGAACCCGCGTGTCATCAACACGCAACTCTTGAAGGCTGATGGGCCCGAACGGGCATACCACATCCTGGACTGGCGCAGCTCGAGGTGGTGGCCAAGCTCTTGGAATTGTTTCCGGGCCCCCCGACGGAAATTCCCCCTCGTCTTTGGAACCCACAACGGTGACTGACGTCAGGGCGTCGTACGGTTCTTCTCGTCGTGACGGCTTTGGAGGTTGAGTGGTCGACGAACGGGTGTCTAAAAGCCGAATCATGAAGGAGTGCTTTTTCTGGGACGTTCGACGTGGACGTCATCCAAACGTCAATTGGCCAAGGCCTCGTGAAGGCTCTCTTCTGGCTCGACGGCTGGCCTTGAGGATTTGGCCAGTCAGTGTCGATCTACTCCTTGTAGGTGAACCCAGCAAGCCCCGCAGCTGTAACTCCTTTTCGCCAATGACCTTGGTGAGCGTCGCTTGTCAATGGTGGTTTGTTTCACCTTCTTCATATAACCTGTGCCCGTTTGTGCGCTCTGGCATTGGGAAGTCCGATGGCCCGGAGTCAAGTGCCTGGGCCTGGGACCCAACGTTTGCAAAATCAGAGCAGTTTGTCTCATGTTGTCTCCAAACCTCCACGGCAGGCGGCTTTGTGGGTCTACTGGCCGAGGTTTTGCCCTCACCGACCCCATCCTTTGCCCACGTGTTGAGTCTTGGGGTTCAGGCATGCAAAATTCATCTTGCAACGTCGTGACTCACAAAAATTCGGGCGCCTGTCTATTTCACATTGCAGATGTGTTTGTTGATGCGTCCGCTGAAGATGCCGCCCTGCATTGCAGCAAGCCTGCTCCTGCACGATCCGCCCGGTTTCTCCAACGTCGACGGGCAGCACCGGTCTCCGAGCCTCCTGCTGTCAGCCGTTTTGCTTTTCGCCCTTGACTTCAGCCGTGGCTGCCCAGCCCTGCGCATCCGGTGGGCGCCGGTATATAAATACACGTTGTCACTTTGCAGGTTTGGACCCGACCTTTCAGCGCAAGAACAAAAAGTTGTACCTGTGACCATTTCCTATATAAAATGAGGAGGTCCTCGTGTGTTGTACCACGTTTCAGGTGGCCCCGCTAGAGGGAGGACAGCCCGGGATTTCATAGGGAACTGCAAGGGTTTTTAGTTTTGAGTGGGCATCAAAAATCAGTTGCGACATATTGCAACTTTCATATGAAAAGAAATGGCTGCCCTGCCACTGAGATGTTGTGTTCCAGATGTGGGAACATCGAGGTGAATCACCCCAAGCCACCCAAGCCCTGGTCATGACTTCCACAACTCAAGCTAAATGGTTTTGCTCCACTATGGTCGCTACAAATCTTGCCCACAGTTCCCTCTATAAAATGGGGAGGTTGACCTTGTTGGCAAAAATTATTCTCGTTTTCAACCCACAGCCCACTCTACCCCATTCTCCCTCTATAAAATGGTGGGGCTGACTCTCGCCAGCCATAGTAATTTGATGTGAATGGATCAGTTTGGTGAGCTCAGTATCCAGCAGTGAGACCCTGCTTTGTAGCAAACGGGTGTGGGTGTGGGCGCTGCTGCTGCTGCTGCTGCTGCTGCTGTTCAAAAGCTGGCTGTCATGTCACACATACCTCCGCATCCATACATGCTGGGTACATGCTGGTGTGGGGACTTGATGGGATTTGAACGTGTGTGAATTGGCCACAATGATGGTACACTACATTTAACAGGAACAACCACGGCATAAAATTGCAAAACCTGGCCGTTCCTGTTCTCACTCTTTATGAAATGGGTGTGACGACCTCCTGGTGCGCCTCTTCTTTGGAGTGGCTGAGTGCGAAGTGGGGGGGCTGGCCCCTGGTTCATTTATGTTTTTGAGTGGCTGACTACATTCTACAGAACCTGTACGCTTTGCCACAAAACAGTATCAGTGGTTTCTGTGTGCGTTTCAGGCCTTGCACGTCTATGAAGTTGGGACACGCACATCCTTAATCATGGGATCGACCCCACTCAGGTGTCGCGCGCTTTGAAGGTCAAATCTTGTGTTTCCTAAAATGGAGATTCAGACGTTGATTCATGAGGGGTACCTTAGATAGTTAATCCAAGGATGCATGTGAGTTCCTTTTTTTTTTAAATGGATTAGTTGGGGTATGTAGGAGATACCGTGGAGCTTAGGCTTGCTCTATTTTCAATTGTTGTTGAAAGTTTAGATAAATACTTTTTCGTTTTTGTACAGGTGCTGTGAGTGAGAGATCTTTTAACACCTTGTTTTGTCAGAAAGAAAGGCTCTTTGCAGGTTTGAACCTGATGAGTGCGATAGAAAAGATGAAAACACACGTGCGCAAAGCCAAGGATTTCTTTCAGTCTGTTGATTTTGGTGACACAGACAGAGTGATTCCATAGAGAGGCCATTTACCTCAGCCCAGACCACTTTACATCGTTTGTATTTGCAGGGGTTGGCCCTGCCGTTTCATATCTATGAAATCTCCCTTAGGACACCCCCTGCATTTCAACATGGGCATTAAAATGTGAAAAGCGTGTCCCTGGCAAGCAAATTTGCATTGTTGCAGCTTATGCGGGCCGCGCAAAATTTAGTGGTAGGTGTGCGAATGTCCTCTTTAGTGGTTGGTCATTTGTTGGCGGGATAAGTTTGGATCTCGCGGGGTGGCGGCGGTGCAATGAGCGGCGCAATGCGGCGTGGCGCAATGTCCATGCTACGACGTGAACATGAACAAACATCACATGGTTGGCTGGAAGTTTCGGTTCTTTTGACGTGTGGCTTGCAGCTGAGGCCTAAATTGGATTCCTGGACATATCTGGGTTTTTTTTCGAGTTCTTTCTGGGGCCATGGCAAGTTCCGCCAAAAACTGCAATCTCTGCGTATGGGCACTGCGCTCACAATGTCTTGCCAACTGTCGCGTTTTCATTGCAATTCTTCGTAATTAAGCAACGCTAAGAAAACATAAGGAGCACTGTTTCGATAGCTGGCATTCCTCCCGCTATGGCGAATGTTTTTGCCGTGCTGGCTGCTCACCAGTGCTTTGGCATGAACTGTGGGTATACTGCATTGAGCCTTCACCTGGCATATCTCTAGCAAGCAGATGATCGCTTTTCTTTAGATGGTGGAACTGTGTCCTCGTGCTCTGGGGTCCTGGCGTTTAGCAATTTGGTGCAGGCGGAGCTTGCACGAGTTGATCGATGCCCAGCACCAAGTTCTTCGGCAACAACTCGCCGATGCAGGTTGGCTGAGGCAGGTCGCCGAATGAACGATTTATGCGCACGGACGCGTGCTTGCAAACAAAGGCGTGCGTGAGCCCGTGCCAACTACTCATATGGCATCATATGGAACCAATGGGACATGTTAAGTTTCATCATGTGTCGGTTTCAAGTCGCTTCTCAGCTGGCCAGGGATATTGAACTCGATGGAGGTGCACAACTTGAAGGAATCTCTGGTGGTGCTTGGTCAAGTTTGGAGTAGGGCCGGGTTCGGCAAATGAGGAAATGGGAGACAGCGCATATTTATTAGAAAACAAGACGGAAAACACATAGAAATAGGTGCGTTGCAAGATTCTGGTTGCCAACTGGTGTTGTTTTCGAGGTCTTGCGCCGAAACTGGGCACTTCCCAGCAGTCTTTGCAGCCGACCTTGCCAGATGACGTTGACCCGTTGCCGCCCAACACGCCCAAGTTCCTTTGATGATTCGTAGTTCAGCCTACCCATATGGGTCGTTGTTTTGGGAATACCGTGTGTCAACCCTCCATTCCTGCACTTGCTGCATTGCAAGGACAGTCGCCACAGATTATGGCCGGAGTGATACGGGAACAAAAGAACATTTTTTCAGAGCGGAACTTGTTCCGCTCTGACCTGTTGAGGTGGAACAAGTGTTCCAGCGTTTCTCATGATCGAATGCTTTTTGGTCCGGCATGAGTCATGGGTTTTGTTTCAGATGTTTGCATCCAAGGTCGGCACTGCTCACTGCCAGCCCGTCTGCGTCAGGGACGCAAGTGGAACCACGCGACGAAAAACGCAAAGTACGTTGACACAAACATGATGATGAAAAGGGTGTTGATGCCAGGCAAATATTCACTACAGAAACTATTCTTTTTCGGTACGGACATTGCTCACTCGCCTACAGTTTCGTGAGTTGGAAGTTGATCCATGTTCTTATGTACAAACGTTTGTGTGTTTTGCTCCAGGTTTGTCCTGCTAACTTCTCAAGATAGCCCGTCTGTGCCGGGGACTTAGTTGAACCACAATTTCTTTGGACGGGTGTCGGTGGTGTGCTTATGACAAGCATCGAACAGCCTTACTTGCAGTATAGAGGGAGTCGCAGACTCAGCCCTCAGTGTCGGCCAGACATCGGCGAAGCCGGCACCGAGGAACAGTGCGGGGTCTCACTTAGCACAGCCAGTAGCTTTACTGCAAAATGAAAGAGGGACCAAGGGACTGAATCACGATGCATCGTCGGGTGCATCTCTTGAGGGATGTTCATTTAGACGTGCAGTTGGGTAAGCTGACTCGCGTGGGATGATGAACATGTTTGTCTCGATAATTGTTCGAGTATCATTTTTGGAAACAACCCACATGTGCCGAGCAAAGCTTGATAGGTGGCGCAGGGCTTTGGATGTTTTGGGACTGACCTTCTGAAGATGGAGCTTTGGTCCCTGTATGTCGCGCGAGGCTGCGTTGGAAAAACTAACCTTGGTCCGGGGTCTGTTCGTAGCATTCCGCCTTTCGATTTGGGAGGATGTCTGATGTGGTGGATGTGGTGGAACATGGTGAAAAAGAGAGTCGTCCAAACCCAACCCCAACCCACCCCAACCCAAAGCCAAAGCAACCCACCTGGCCTCTACGCAACACAAGCGACAAATGACGAGGAGTTGACCTCCCAAGAAGTGGTGAAGATTTTGAGCAAGACGGACGAGGAGGAGCAGGAGACCAGCCCCGGCAGCCAACCGAGCCTCAGCCAAGTCGTCGGTGTGAGGGATTTTATCGAGGGGCCTTTGCAGGCTCGAAAAGATGAAATGAAAGAGAACCGTCTCCTATCATCTCCTTTTCCCTGACATGCGGTTCGAGTTTCTGATGCTGGAAATTTGGGGGTGATCGGTTCGCCCCTGCCGTCATTAGGGCCTGGTTGATGGATGCAGATCAGTGTTTTCTAGAATGGCAAGGGTGTGGTGGATGCTTCCAAATTGCTTGAAACTATGGTTGTGGGCCGGAGTTCTTACTTTACTTTACTTATCTTTTTTTTCTTTCTTTCTTTCTTTTTCGCGCGCGCTCTCTCTCTCTCTCTCTCTCTCTCCCTCTGAGGGTGTTTTTGTTTCGTAGCTTCTAGGTTTCAAGGTTGGGCAGCGGGATCGAAGAGGTGACGGATGCGCATGGTTCATCACCAGATCAATGTCTGTGGCGGATTGATTGCGTAAAAAGGTCTCCGCTGGTGCCTGTTCATTCATGGGGTAGAGAGAACGCTTTCTGAGTGTCCAAAGGCTTCCGAAACCAATGACATGTGCTGTTTGAAAATGCAATAAAATCTAGATTGTATTGCCTGGAATGTTGTTGAGTGAGCCAGAAGCCAAAGGGTCTGACAGCGATTTATAGTTGAAGACACACAAACAAGAGGACAGATGACTAACTGTAGATACCATGGTGATGGAGCTTCACAGTGTTGAACCGTGCGAGGGGGCAAACATCAGTCTGATGGCAATTTAACGTAGACCTACTGTGGCCAAGCGCCAACAAGTCTCTCATGACGGCGTTCCATCATGGCAGACTCATCTTCGTTATCGGGTACCGTGCTAACAATACGGTACCATCTTTGAATTGCCCCCCGCGAACCGGTTTTGTTTTTCTTTGATTGCTTGGACGGTCTCCGACGTCTGACGCCCTGCACCGTCCTTATCCCAGCCTCCCGCATCTGCGAGGCTGGGCAGTCACAGCTCTGCGATGATTGCACAGAGGGCCTTCAGCTGCTTGGGCCAAACCCGGGGGTAGTTTTGGACGAGGGTTCCATCGCTAGTAGGTTGGAGTAGTTTGGAGGCCATCGCTCTTAGGTTGGAGGCCGTAGGTTCCTTTTGCCATTAGTAGGGTGGAGGCCATCGCTCCTTCAAAAGCCAATTCTGGTCTTGCGCCGGGGCCCAGGGTCTGGACGACGGGGGCGGGGGGCCTTGAATTGATGAGCGTGCCCAAAGCTGCGGTGTTTGGGGGATTATCTATCTATCTATCTGTCTATCTATCTATCTGTCTGTCTGTCTGTCTGCCTGTCTGCCTGTCTGCCTGTCTGTCTGTCTGCCTGCCTGCCTGCCTGGCTGTCTGTCTGTCTGTCTGTCTGTGTGTCTGTCTGTGTGTCTGTCTGTGTGTCTGTCTGTCTGTCTGTCTGCCTGCCTGCCTGCCTGCCTGGCTGGCTGGCTGGCTGGCTGTCTGTCTGTCTGTCTGTCTGTCTGTCTGTCTGTTATCTAATATCTATCTATCTATCTATCTATCTATCTATCTATGTGTGTGTAAACTAAAAATATTAAAAGAGGTTTTACACTCCAAATGGGAGGCATCAAGAGCCTACATTACGCACCAAGAGCTTGTCTTCCGCTCTCCAGCCTGGCGCTCGTGACTCTTGTATACTCTTGTTCCATATCGGCCTCTGCAACGCAAGGGAGGGTCCCTCTTCAAAGGGGCGAGCGGGCTGAGACTTGCAAGCTGGACAATGGGAAGCAACATTGAAGGAAACAAACCATGCACACACTGACACACTGAGTACGTTTTCAGCTGGATTTGCACCACAGAAGATAACTATTCGTGGGGCAAACGTTGGTTTCCATGTGTCCATGATTCTGTCAGTGAGATGACGCAAGCCGCCTGAGCACTAAGCCCTAAGCGTTTTCTCTGCTGCACTAGTGGGCTGCCCAGCGCACCAAGGCAAAAACGACAAGGTGAAATTCATCTATAGGTTGGATTGCTTGGCTGCTGGCCTGAGATTTAACATCTTCTACTTTTTGCTTGATGAACGGATTAGTTCCCCACCACGCTTGTTGTAAGACCTGCGAGCGGAGGGCCTCCCGTTTTCAGACACCAGAGGATCAATCTTGCATGTTAAGAGTGATCAGGGCGGACATGCTTCAGCATGAGCAAGCTGAAGCTTTACTGTCCTGAAATCCCATGTGTTTCTTGAGAATCTCTCAGCAGGAGCTGGCCTTGGGAGCAAGGACGCTACTAGGGGCTCGTGGCCTTACTAGCAGGAGCAAGGATGCTACTAGGGGCTCGTGGCCTTACTAGTAGGAGCAAGGACACTACTAGGGGCTCGTGGCCTTACTACTAGGAGCAAGGACGCTACTAGGGGCTCGTGGCCTTACTAGCAGGAGCAAGGATGCTACTAGGGGCTTGTGGCCTTACTAGTAGGAGCAAGGACACTACTAGGGGCTCGTGGCCTTACTACTAGGAGCAAGGACGCTACTAGGGGCTCGTGGCCTTACTAGTAGGAGCAAGGACGCTACTAGGGGCTCGTGGCCTTACTAGTAGGAGCAAGGACACTACTAGGGGCTCGTGGCCT